AGAGACATGTCAGAGACACAGGGGAGAAACGCGGGAGATACGAGGGAGACCCGCACTTGCAACATGGTTCTGTCTGCATATGGTCCGAGCTCGGTACCATGTTAGAGCTGTGCTTTCACTGAGCGCCGCGGCTGTCATTACAAAGCGGCAGCAGCTGCACCAGGACGTGCACATTCGAGTGCATCTCTTGAATGTGCTTATAGCAAATAACAGCAAGTGCCCGCTGTCACACATTTCACAGAAATTACATTATCAGCAGATAAAGGTTGTAAATCGTGGATCCGTGGAATATTTTCATCCCTAGTTTATCCTGATTCACACAACACACCCACTTATACATTTTGGATAGTAAGAGCACAATAAGTATTTTTTCAGCCTTTCAACCAACCTGTTTCTTTATTGGAGCCAGTTCTGTTCTGTCTCTGTGCCGTGTGAGCTCCTCGGAACATTAAACAGTGCGCTGACAGATTAGAAATAACGTAAGTACTTTGAATGGTAATAGATCTACAGTACTTTCCTCTGATTACTCACGTGCTACAACGCTCAGGGAACGAAAAAAAACACTTGCTTCACGCTGGCTAACCTTTAAAAATTAAACAGTCGCTCAGTGCTTCAGTTTGGCGCTGAAGAAGACAGCCAATCACTGCAGAGAACGGAACGGGTCACGTGCTGCTGCTGCTGCTGCTGCTCTGGAGGCGAGGAGGAGGCGCGGCGTGTGCACAAACGGAAGACATGTGTCCCGGACCGTCCGGGTCACGGGACATCATGTCATTTTGGTGGGGACTTTTTAGTCCTCACCAAATATTGGTGGGGACATGTCCCCATGGTCCCCACGCAAACCTACGCCCTTGCGTGAAGCGTCTCAGAGTGTCCAAAAAAGTGCTAAATAAAACTGATGCTTTTTTATTTTTATTATATTTATTTAGGAATTCACTAAAGACTCACATTTCCTCTGAGCTTCTGTAACATTTAGACTGTCCAACACGGACAAGAGAAAGACCACTCATGTTTAGAACTGACTGTGTACAATTTAATATTACTCTAAAAACAAAATGTAAATAGTTGTTGCTTGTTCTCTTACCTCCTTCACAGATGAAGCTTTTCTTTAGTTCACAGTCGTCGCTCTCCCATCGGCCCTCGGCTCCCAGTGCTGCACATTTCTTTGTCAGTGGATTTATCGATGTGTGTGAGTTCCAGTTTCTGAAAGAGGAGTCGCTTCTGTCGGACCAGCTCCAGGTGTCCCGGAACAGACCGATCCAACACCATGAAGGAAGCGTAAGGTTCTGTTCCTGAAACAGTTTGTACTGGTCCAGTCCACTCATAAGGTCAGTGTGGTGAGTTCTGCAGAACTGCTGAGCCTCTGACCAGGTTCTTTTGTTTGTGGCATCATTGATCATGACAGTAGTGTTGGAGGACTCTGTGGATCAAGAGAAGACAATATTATTTTATTCATCTTTATTAAGGACTGAAAATGTTGAGGTCCAGAGATAAATGTTACAGTCGTTGGGTTTTTATTATTATTAAACTATTGAAATAGAAATAGGTTCAAAGTCTTCCTGTTCACATCTGCAGAACTGATAAACAGCAGATGAGTTCAGTTACAGCACTGGATTTGTGCTTTTAATGATGAAAAATGTCTCTAATATAATATTATTTAACTATTGAATTCAAAGTCAGAAAGAAGCAAAACTAACATTTTTATGATTTCTGATGTTTCTAATGCAAGAAAATTACAGTTTGGATAAGATCATGACAAGGAAACATTGTAAAAAAAAAACTACAGCTCAAACTGCCCCCTGTGCCTCATCTTACATTTAACAATGTACAGACATTAAATAATATTAACTGTTTATACAAAGCAATAACACAGTAATACAAAAGTCATAAATAAGCTTGTTTTGTTTAATGTGTGTTTAAAGTAAAAACTGTTTCCTCACCGTTGTAGCAGATAAAGCAACTGAGTTTATCATCACAGTAATAATCATTCCACAGGCCATCACTGTACATCATGCCACAGTTTTCAGTTCCTCCATAATCATCAGGTTGCCCTGGTTTCCACGGAGAGTGTCTGACACGGAGAGTGTATCTGACTGTGGGCTGAGACCAGTGCCATTTCTTGTCTGTGAGGTTGTCACTGGTTTGATAAAGTCCGATCCAGGCGTCCGTGCTTCCGTTTGCAGCAGCCTTCAGGTTCTTCAGGTCCTTCATGTCGTTCACTGAGGCCAGGTCTGTGTAGAACTCTCTGCAGTGACTCTGAGCCTCAGACCACGACATGTTCTTATCTATAAAGTGGTACTGAAGGTCCAGAGACACTGACCAACACAGCTGACCTACAGGGAGAAAACACAAACTAAACATATCTTCAGGAGTTCAAATGATGGGATTTAGACATTTTAGAAGATTAGACTTGTTAATTACAGGGTCTGAGCCATTTTGTATTGACATTGATATTTTATGTTTTATGAAAAATCTATAAGGAAGCAAATCATAAAATAAATAATTATTCTTATTTTCTAAAATGTGTAGATTCAAAACATATACGTCTTCAACACATTATTAAGAATTGCCTGTTTGAAATAAGTAGTTTTGTTTAATATATCAGAACATATGTACGATGGCATTGGTTTTCTTAACATGAAAAGAATAATTGAAAGCAACAGTCCCACGATATGAAATTACAATAAAATAGATAGTTAGAAAACACAAAGCTGAATACTTAAAGAACTGAATCAAGGTTCACTTACCGAGCACCAGAAACATTAAGAGTAAGTGCATTTTCTCCTGTAAACAAGTAAACATGGCATTCAGTGATAAAACATAGAACATACAAATCATAATGAAATGTATAGAGCCTGTTTTTAAACAGCGAGAGCTCAGAAAAGTGCTGCTACTTACTGTAAAGTCTGAATTATGTGAAGTAGATCAATGTATGAACAGGTCGCTGTATTAAAACCCCCTCACCTGTGACTGGAGCTCTCTCCTCTGCATCTGCAACTATATCTACACCTTCAAACCAATGGTCTCGCGTGTGAATTTGCATAATGGCAATGTTTGGCCATGTTTGTTTCCTTGGGGGAAAATATCAGGAAAAGTCAACTCTGGAATATTCAAATATCGAGACACAAACACCTTCTTCACGAGAGAAATGAACCAATGATGTCATACGCAAATGTACAAAACAGCTGTCACTGTGCCAAAGGAAAGAGTAAAAAGTACCACAACACTATCTCATCTCATCTCATTTACATCCCTTTATTTTCCATTTCTGGGTCAGGGACCCAGAACAACAACACAACACTATATCTTATTAAATATGTTACATTTTGAAGCCCTGTCAGTCACAATCTGACACTTTGGGCTGAGAGCTGATTGGTAAGTGGTCTCTTTGGCACTTTGTTGTGAAGGAGTTTGAAGTCAAGTTATGTCCAGTTATTTGTTTATCAACAAACTGGACATGGATATTGATAATAACTTTAGATTGTGGCACCAGTGAAAACATCCCAACTGAAAACATGCTTGTGATGTCACATTATTCATTATTTGGCTCATGCTAGATTCAGTCATTAACAAACTCAGACTCACTCAGCTGTAAGTCTACTTCCCTTTTATGAGATCTGAAGGTGGAAATACATTGACTTTATTTCTGGTATTAAATCATCAAAAATGTTATTTTTTAGACAAAGATTTAATGCAATAAATTCAATATTAAACGATACATGTTTAAAGTAATGAGGCTGAAGTGAATTCTGATGTCTTTGAGTGGATAGTGGAGCCGAGGCCCGTCAGCTGTGTTTAATTTCCATCTGTTGGACCTCAGTCCAAACCCCTAACCCTTTTTGTTGTTGTAGGGGAAACCCATGCAGTCGCAGGGAGAACATGCAAACTCCAAACCGAAAGGCGCTGTTTGGTGGTGGAGTCGACCCCAGGACCTTTCTGCTGTTAAGCACAAGTGCTAACCACTGTGCCACTAGAGACAAGCTTTGACCCTTTCCTTCTGCCTGAAAAAACAGACTTATTTCTGGATCATGTCCTCCTGAGTATCATTTTATTGCATAATCTATAAGTAAGATTAGTAAAACATGAGCAAAAAGATGCTTCATGGCTGTGTTGTGCTGCAGGCAGAGGATTGGCGCGGCTCAGTCGGTGACGCGCGGTGCACCTGATGGAGAAGCTCTGCTCATAAGACCCAGCCCACACGCGCGTGCATGCGAGCGCGTTCTGGAGACTCAAGTTTTACACTATCTGCCCTACCCCCTTTCCCCCTATTTTATTTTTATGAAATAATAAATGAACGTAAATCTATTCACTGCTATTGAAGTTCTTTCCACACTCATTACAGGCTGTAGCCACAGATGACCTGGGACAGACTGGTGTAAGCAAGGCAGCCAATCTGTGCCATTATCATTCCCTCCAACCACCACCAATCACACACAGACTCTACTAGAGCTATAGGACATGTGGGTGAAGTGTGTTCCTATAAGCCCAGACGCATCAAACAACTATTAGATGTTTTGTTTCATTACTTTCTGCCACTGTTCATCACAAACAGTTCATGGACATTGGTCATCTTATGGATTAATGGCTCTTTTTCTAAATCATCGCATGTCCTGTGTTTGAACCTTTTGAGGGAATCAACAATGACAGTAGAGTCCACCAAGATAACTACTGTTGTAATTTAGGGCTATACAAAAATAAGAATAATAATTTAATTAATTATTTATCTAATTGCAATAATTTGAATACAAGAATAACATACATAGATCATTATTGGTAAGAAATAAATAAACATTTAAAATCGAAAAAAAGTGGCCACTAGTTTTTGTCTCTCCCTCTGTTTAAGAGACGCTAGAGGGCGCACTACCTCCGAGCATTTGAATTGAAAGTAAAATAGTATGTATATGTTTTTTTCCTTTGCTTTACTCCATCTTTTGTCTTAGGTTCTTTGGCCTCGACTAAAATGTATCAACACAATTAGAAATCCTTATAGTGACGTTTTGACTATGGCCGGGCTGCAGTCGTATCCTGTCTATTTTGATTGTGAAGAGTTAGACGAGAAGAAAAAGAAGACATTACAAACTTATTTTCAGATTGGCCGTAAATCCGGAGGCGGTGAATGCGGACCAATAACTCGTGAATCTGGCCTCGTTCACAGAGTGGATTTCAAAGATCGAGAAGGTAAGATAGGAAGCCATCACGCATATTGTTTTCAAACATTACACTTCAAATCTCCTGTGTAAAGAAAATAAAACATGCGGAAGTGAAAGTGAAAGTGAAAACAACGCAGACTTAATTATGATAATAATCTATTTTATTACTGTGCACTCATAAATGGGCTAGTTCTGCTTTTGAGCAAAACCTCTTACCTTTCCCTTTTATCATTCATATTTTTAAGCGTTTTCCTTTTTTATAAACAAAAGACGACCATGCATTTCCTGGTTTACATTATGGTTATCGTGTTCTTGCAAAAAAAAGTATTATAATTGATAAATTATAATTGATAAAAACAATATCTATGGTCTACATGGGTCTACATGACAAAACAATCAATCAAGCAAACAGAGCCCCATCACATCACACATTACAGAACAAATAACATTCAAATCTCACAGGACATTCAAAACAAACATGAAGATCACGCATTGTTTTAAAAAACGACATAGAACATCACACTGATCATTAAAAAAATCTCAGTTTATTAAAAAGAATAAATATACAATCCTTCAGTTATCTAAACAACTGTTTTCAACTTGGATTTGAACACTGTTCACATTTTCAGGAAGACTGTCCCAGATTTTAGCTGCATAAATCTAAAATGCTCCCCATGTTTAGTCCTGACCCAGGGCACCAGCAAGAGTCCAGTCCCTGTGCTCCTCAGAGTCTGGTCTGGTTCATATGGGACTAACATGTCACTAATGTACTTTGGTACAAGGCCATGGAGAGACTTGTAACAAGCAGAGCTGTTTTAAAGTCTATTCTCTGAGCCACAGGAAGCCAGTGCAGAGACCTGAGAACTGGACTAATGTGGTCATACTTCCTGGTTATAGTCAGGACTCGAGATGCAAAATATGTTGTCTAAAGTCAGCTTTGGGCACTACATTTTTAACTTCAGATGGTAAAAAGCTGCTGATATTTCTGATTTGATGTGGCTGCTGAAATGTAAGTAAGGCCAAATCTATGGGCCTTAGATCTATCAGTGAAAATAGATCTATTTGTCGATCATCAAAACAACAATAGTGATATTATTTGTTTTTGATATCTATTCTTATGTTTTTTTTGTATTCATGCTCCTAATGTTGAGCTTTGGTTGTTGTTTGGCCTCAGTCCAGCAGCGGGTGTTGCAGAGGCCTGAGCACAGGGTGGAGGTGGCTGGATCTCCTCTGGTGCTGAGGGTCCGGGGCCCAGGATCCACTGCACCCTCTTCTCTGGTCAGACATCCACTAACTTCACTCCAGTGTGTGCAGAGGCTACTATTTACTCTGCTTATGTTATTATTATTATTATTACTACTGTGCTTATGATAATAATGTTAAACATACATTCTATACTGAGTAGTTTCTTTGCCTTTCCAACATGAAAAATAAACTTTTAGAAAATTATTAAACAACTTCATATAGGTAAAATGACCCATTAAGAATAATTCCCATTGGATTTTTGGTAATTAGCTTGAACACTATGGACCTATTACGCTACCTGTTAATTACTCGACAGCTGATTTGCCCTGAAGATTTTCAATCTTTTGTCTACAACATATATTTAATTATTGGATTCATTATTATGAATTATTTGTATTTTGATTGGGGATTGTTTATGTGGAAGGAAGCCTCATACACTTTACTTCTCCACATCATCTGCTGTATTTGAAATGTGCCTCTACTCTTTTAGGTCTAAAATAAATGATAATTCTAAAATGCTCTATAATACCAGCTCTGTCAATAGGCCATACAGTATGTACTAGTATCAAAGTCCAACTTATTTTTGTCTCAACAGCATTACTCCAGTTTCACCTCAAGTCTGCCCTCTGGTGGTGAAGAGCACAAAGTGACACTAAACCAGTACCTCCTTCAATATCTGCAAGAGAACGCTCAGGCAAACAATTTCTTAACAACAGAACTCCAGTCACTGCAGAGCACAGTCAAGCTATGTCCCGAAAACGAGAAGGCTTTAGTCAGGAGTGCAGCCCGTTTAGAAAGTGTAGAAGCTATCGCAATATGGAAAAAGGCTGTGGATAGTGTGTTTGAAAAGATTGGAAGTCTGTATCCGTGTCATTTTGTGTTCGAAGCCGATCAGAGGTTGCTTCTGCTCAAATCTTGTAACACATGTGAGGAACATGGAGAAGATAAAGTGTACAGTGAATCCAAGTTAGTCATAGTGGTTGGGACACAGACTGATGTGCAAGCTCGGCTCAAACATGTCAATGATTGCCACAAGAAGATCCGTGGAGGTAGTTTTACACGCAAATGTAGATTGGACAAGGCCAAATATCATCTTTTGGGTAAAGACATTGAGCTGAGTCTGGCCAAAACTGTCCCCAATTTACGAGTAACAGAAGGCCAAAATGAGCTAGTTTTTGAAGGTACGGCAAAAGAGATTAACAAAGCTCATGATATCATTGACGACAAGGAAAAGATGGTGAAAGAACAAACCGTTTGCAACGTTAGCAATAAATTGTTATCCTTTTTGAACGGAGCATACTGCGGCAAAACGCTGCGTACATTTTTGACGAATGAGGAATGTGTTTTTATTGATCTTAAACCAACAAAGATTACGATTTTCTCTCTGTTCCCTGATCAAATTGACCAAACCATAAAAGCGCTTAAAGAACAATTCATAGAAATCACACAGGATCTGAATTACTTGGAGGTGCCACTCGAACTAAAAAAACAGCTTCAATCTATAACGAAAGAAACAAATAGACAGGGAGATAAAGTTCATGTTGATTTTGTGAAAAACCAGGTAGTTTTGCTTGGACACAGTAAAGAGGTGAAGGAGTTACACGCAGTGGTAATGAAGTTCATCAAAGAACAATCAAAAGTTGAAGACAGAGTACAAGTCCCATTTCTGGAGTCAGTGGAAAAGCTACCAGATCTGCTAACACTAAACAGTATTGACTCTACAGGCGTGACATTCAATTTGTTGGAATCTGGGTTTGTTACTTTGGAAGGCCCCTCAAGCGCGGTGTCTCAAGTTAGACATTTCCTCCAATCTCTCGTCAAAGAAACCGTGATCGTTGATAAACCGGGCGCGCAACGGTATTACAAAAGCCAAAACGGAGGAGAAAAGTTACAGTCCGTGGGTAACTCGCACAAGTGTATAATTGAACTTGAAGACGCGACAGCCGTAAGTTTGAACGATGAGGTAATTGGAATGTATAACCTAAAGCAAGGTCTGCGGGTAACTGTTTGTGTTGGCGACATCACAAAACAAGAAGCGGACGCCTTTGTGAATGCGGCCAATGAGGACTTGCGCCACAGCGGTGGGGTGGCTTTAGCGTTGAGTAACGCAGCCGGTCCCGCAGTCCAGAAAGAATGCAACGATTGGGTCAAGAATAATGGAAAAGTTAGGACAGGCGATGTGGTTGCGACCAGTGGGGGTAAGCTAAAATGCAAGAAGCTTCTGCACGTGGTTGGCCCAAAGAATCAAAATGCTTCAGGGAAAGAAAGAGTCGTGTTAGAGGAAACTGTTTTGTCCGCATTGGTCTTGGCGGAGAGTCTTGATTTGAGGTCGATCGCGTTGCCGTGTATAAGCTCGGGCGTGTTCGGAGTTCCCGTAGGCGTATGCAGTGAGGCCATCGTGACTGCAGTCCGGGTGTTTGGATCGGTCGAAGGGAGGTGTATGTGTAAGATCACCCTGATAGACAAGAAGAGAGAGGTGGTGGAGTCTCTGAAGGCAGCGTGTGATAGGCTGCTCAGGGATGTGCTTTTGGAAGAGACAGTGAGAGGGAGTGTGGAGGAGCAGACCCCTACAGATGACAGTGTGAAGGTGGAGATCATCCAAGGGACCATCGAGAATCAGCAGGTCAGTGACTCTGCTGTTATGTCGTTTGGTTGATTTTAAACTCTTACTTTTGACAATAAATGGACAGGTTTAATAACAACATGTGCTTTTACTGATATCAATAAACTACATTTGCTTCTGTGATGTTGCAGAATCACCCTTGAGTCACCTTTAGTCTGCAACTTTAGTTTACCAGACAACACGGATTGTAAAACTGTTTTGACTGGATCTGGGCTGTTCTGAGCGGAATTTGTCACACAATCAAAAACAAATCAGTACTTATTTTATTGAAATAGCTTTATATTTGAAAAATATTTTTCAAATATTTCCACTTAATGATAAAGTAATATTATAAAGTTTATATTATCTTATATACAAATAAAGTCAGTGGCTAATTTCCAGACGTACTGAGATATATTAACTGAAGTTGGCTGGATGACACTGTGAACTTGTGTTTGTGATCCCAAAGACAACATTGCGTTAGCACAGTTTATGCACACACACGCTCACACACACACATACACACACGCACAAGCACACACACACACTGCTCATGCACACACATACACACAAGCACACACACACACACTGCTCATGCACACACATACACACACATACACATACACACACTCACACACACTGCTTATGCTCATACACACACGCACACTGCACACACACACTCACACACACTGCTTATGCACACACACGCTCACACACACACATACACACACGCACAAGCACACACACACACACACACTGCTCATACACACACACACACATACACACAAGCACACACACACACACTGCTCATGCTAGCCATCAACAGCTGTTGTGTAATATGATTTTATCAATCAGGGGATAGGCGATTATAAATACTTGTTTATATGCTCTGCAGCTGTAATAGCAACATTGTTTTTGCCTTTGTTAAATCTGCAAAATTAAACTAAGGCCGATGGTCTCAGGATTTGACCAATCACTGACAAATACACAGACACTCTGTGTATTATCCATATACAAGATGATTATACATTTTGTTTATTTATTCAAAAACAATTATGAAACATAAATCAATTAAAACGAGTGAGTTTCATCATTCTTCAACATGTGATTGACAATAATCATTATCGTTTTTATAGGTATTTCCAAAGCTATTCTGACAGCAGCAGGACCCAATGTAAAAGCAGAGTTCATACATGGTGAGACACCCGTCAAACCTCCCTACGTTTGGAACAATATTTGTATTGATAAAGGTAATATCACTTTGTTTTTTCTCAGTGAGCAAAACTGCAGACCACTTGTGCTGCACAGGAGCCGGTCTGCTGGGCTGTAGAAAGATCATCCACGTTCAAACCGACCACACAGTTCAAGGCATTAGTAAAAACTGCAAAAAAGTACTGAAACGTTGTGAGAACGAAGGACTCTCCTCTGTGACCTTCCCGGCCATTACAGTTTTTTCCTGTTGCTTGAACACTATAGACAGACGCTTAGACCAAAGTTGCAGAACTTGAAGCTTTTGTTCTAAACCTAAAACACAGACTGACCATTCCTTAAACAAAAGTACTGCTTTGCACTCTACTTTCATTTCTACAACACACTTTCTCCTTTTGCAACACACTTTCTCTTTCTGCAACACACTTTCTCCTGCTCACTACACACTGTGTCATACATAAGACACTTTGTGCATATTTGCAATCTTGTGTTATCGTTGGGAAAACACATCTATTCAAAATACCAAACACATTGTGTGACTAAAAACACTGAGACACACACCAGAAAACACTGAATTACAAAATGCAACACACATCAGACAGACACAAACAGGCTTCAGTTTAGCCATTTTCAGAACTTTGCAAGTTTGAAGGCAGGAAGAGCAAGACAGAGGAAGACAAGGAGTTTAAGAGGATTAAAACAACACAATATTTTGATGACATTAGAGCAACGTTTGTGGATCTTGTGATAAACCACTGCCTCAAACTGAGGGAAGCAGAGAGTCCAGACAAGGTCCTTCAGGACCTACATGTTTCCAACGCTCTACTGCAGACTGTATCTACAGTATTTACAGTACTGTATCACATGTACTGTAAGTCTCTATTGCAGACTGTACTACAGTATTTACAGTGCTGTATCACATGTACTGTAAGTCTCTATTGCAGACTGTACTACAGTATTTACAGTACTGTATCACATGTACTGTAAGTCTCTATTGCAGACTGTACTACAGTATTTACAGTACTGTTCTGTATCACATGTACTGTTTTGCAAGTTGGCTATTGCTCCTTTTTGAAAAAAATTTAGTTTTGTGAAACATACAAGACGGTAAAGTACATAAAACTGCGATATAACAGTAATGTGTACATTTGTACTGTAAAAAAACTAAACCTATAGTAACAATTTGTGGTTTCATATTTATACAAAATGACTAAAAGAACATCCGGAGGTGGTCGGCAACTGTTCACCAACAACATGAACTTGCCTTCGTGGAAATAGTTAGACCATGAACCATGATCCATAATCCACACACGCACAACTGCTTAGTTTTACATTAGAGTTTTTTTGTTTTACTGCATTGACACAAATACAGTATACCGTAGTACTGTGATATACAGTATATTGTAGTACTGTAATGTGATGTACAGTATATTGTAGTACTGTGATGTACAGTATATACTGTAGTACTGTACTGTAAAGTATGCTGTAGTACTGTACTGTAAAGTATACTGTAGTACTGTACTGTAAAGTATGCTGTAGTACTGTACTGTAAAGTATACTGTAGTACTGCACTATAAAGTATACTGTAGTACTGTACTGTAAAGTATACTGTAGTACTGCACTATAAAGTATACTGTAGTACTGTACTGTAGAGTATGCTGTAGTACTGTACTGTAAAGTATACTGTAGTACTGCACTATAAAGTATACTGTAGTACTGTACTGTAAAGTATACTGTAGTACTGTACTGTAAAGTATACTGTAGTACTGTACTGTATTGAGTTGATATTATTTGTAACCTTTCAGTGCTACAGAGAACAAAAACAGTTCCATTGAGCTTCACAGAAAACTAACTGATAAACAGAATAAAAACAGTGAAAATGACTGCAGTGTTTTATATAAAGTACTGTAGTGTGTTGCTTTCAATCTGAAAGTGTGTTCACGTGATGCAAGTGTGTGTCATTTTGTCCTCAGAGTTTCATTTTGACGAATGATTGTTTAATTTTGAGAGCAGAGTTTGAGTTTTGAGAGCCGACTTTGAGTTTTGAGAGCAGAGTTTGAGTTTTGATAGAGGAGTTTCATTTTGACACAGATGTGTCTGGTTTATGTCCCAGTGTTGTGTCAGGTTCTCGTGTGTGTAGAGTTTTGGGACTTTGAGCGAAATTTTGCAAACTGTGTTCAAGCAACAGGAAAAAACTGTAACACAGGTTGGACTAAAACACATATTTATCTTCTAGAAATGGAGTTTGTTATTTTTGATTGATACTGATCTTCTACCTCTTTGTTTTAAAGAAAATATAATGCTAATGTCTGTACCGTGGGTGCAAGCAGAATGTATCTATATAAGTACAAACACAAGATAGTACAATAGACCAGTTGTACAAGTCCACTAGTACTTACCACATGAACACTTGCTTTTGCTACATGTTATTAAATCCATAAAGTTGATCTATACTCTTCCCATCTGTCTCGCGTCTTTCGTGTTCAGGTATTGGAGGGATGAACCACAGCACCGTGAGCAAAGCCATGTTGGACGCCATGGTAACAGCAATAACAGAACTCAACCCAAAGTTTCTGTCTCTGATTCGCATCGTCATCCTGCCCCAGCCGGTCTACGACGCCTTCAGGTCAGAAAGTGTTCGGAAACATCCAAATAACACGTCTGTCCGTTCAGATCTGTCTAACAGTTCATGCTCATTTAAATACATTGCAGAGCAGAGCTGGACAACCGTTTTGGACAAGTGGCTCCCTCTCAAAACTGGAAAGGTAATTTGATGTAATTTCAGTCTTTGTCAACTTTATTGTAAAGGCCCATTTATAATACATGCTTCAAATGTCTTCATGGGGTCAACTGTGGGATAGCCACACATGGACTTCTGGGCCGACCCACTCAGTTGTAGTTTGGCCAGTGAAATGATAGTTGTGATGATTTTACTCGTGTCCTAAGTGCTGCACAGAGGTAAAAGTAACACATTTGGAAATAAATATCTGGCAGTTTTACTGTATATGTTAGGGTTAGGGTTAAAAGGATTGTTTCCCTGATGTCTGGTCCTGTTTCACATGCAAAGAAAATGCTGTGACTGTTTTTCAAATGCAAGGCCCATCATGTGGCCCCCATGAGTTTGTATGTGTACATATAAACATTAGCATACAACAACTTGCATGTGAGAAACAGCCTTGGTAGTCACCAAGGTGAGAAAATACACCCTGTATACAAAGAAGCTGTCCCACTGTCCTTTGTAAACTATATTCATTACTGCTAGATATACCAAACATATGTGTAATGTCAAAATGCTTTATTGTTTCAGGAAAATTGAAGTCAAAATTCACTAGCTTAGAAACTGGAACCAATATTTCCCCAACAAAACATCGACCGGCTGTTCTCAGTGTGATCGGCTGCAGCACGGACGCCCTTTCTGTCTTGAGTAAAACACTTGAGGATCTGGTCCAGTCACAACTTGTGGAGAAGGAGTTCCATAGGCGAGAGCTTTGCCGACTGGACAAAATGGAGGTGGAGACAATTCAAGCTAAAGCTAGAGAGTTGGGAGTCAGTCTGGACTTCAGCAATGGACAAAAAGAAGGCACAGATTCTGGTGAAAATACAGTCGTTCTTCGAGGGCTTGCAGAAGATGTGTTCATCGTCGCTGATTTGATCAACAGCGCGATCAAAAACGGGCTGAGAGTAGACCTACAGGAAAAAAAAGAGGAAAGTTTGGCCCAAGAAGTTCAGTGGATGTTTCTGGACGACGGAGAGGACTGGAAGAGTTTTAGTCCCAAGCAAAACTATCGCCTGGAAGAAGCCCACAACAAAAGGGAAGTCTTTGTGGATTTGACCATTAACGGGAACAAAGTGAAAGTGAATGTCATTGCACCTGATGCTACTGATATTAAAACAGGAAAGAAGTACGAAATAAAGCGCTGCAAGACAGAGACAGGTACGTGAACACGATTAAAAATGAGTCTTTATCGATTTAAATAATAAATACAAAGGCAGACGTCCTCTCATTGTGCCTGCCCCTTTTGGATAATCTTCAGGATGCTATAGATACGCAGCTTTAGATCCAAATAAAGCAAAGAAAGACCAATTAAAAATGGAATCTCAATTGAGAAATGAAACAAATATTCCCAACATGATTTTGATTTGATGATTTTGTATGGTCACATTAGTAAATCAAAATGACAGTAACAATGACAAACGGAACTAAGACACATTTTTTTCCTAAATTGATTAAATTCGAGAAAATAGGTATCTTAAATATTGTTTTAAAATAAGATTTACCAAATCTTATCTTCACAATGTCGTATGACTCCAAAACCCCAAGAAGCGATTGTAGGTTAAAGACACGTGAGGTGCCATTCTTTGAAACATTCAAAGTAGTTGACGGATATTAAAGCTGAAATTCATGTCTTCAGATATTGAGTTTCCTGAACACTGGAGTCCGATGGCAGGCGAAAAGTTTAAGAAGGTGGAAGTGTGTCCGACGTCGAAGGAGTATCAAGACATTGCACAAGGATTTTACAAAACTGCAAAACAGAAAATACGCAAGGTAAAGCCGACAAGCAATAATAACGTATATTTTCAGCCTTGCATCTCGCTCCTGTTTGTTGCAGATCGAGCGAGTGCAGAACTTGTATCTGTGGCACAGTTTCTTCGTGATGCGGCAGAAGATGCTGATGAAGAACGGAGAGGCTGAACTGGGAGAGAGGTATCTGTACCACGGCACCACGGCTGACTCTAGTACCTGCATCGAGAAGGACCGCTTCGACAGGAACTACACCGGAAAGAACGGTATTTCAAGGTTCAAGGTTCAACTCTAGGAAAATGTGTCTTAGGCTCACAGTGCACACTACATCAGGACGATCGGCTTCTGCACAATTTCAATACAAAAAAATCGAATAATATTGCACAGTCCCATTATGATACTTGTGCAAAAAGTGCCACAATACAAATAAACAAGCTTGTGAAAAAAACATTATTTACACAACAACAAGTTAACAAACATACAAAGTGCTTGTGCAGACTCCCATTCACAGAAAAGGAGATAAGTAAGAGCGATGGAACCGAACAAGATGACAATTCACTCCAGCGTCTGTCATTCTTTATTGAGCAGAATGAATGGCAGTGGTTACAGTGTACAGTAGGATATATATAATTCAAACAAGCAAGGATCGTGCTAAAAACAGCTTTGTGTGTGTAAAAAAACAACCAGAAAAAAAACTATCTCCGTTTCAAACGTTTTAGAAAGTTATGTATTTTTTGTTTTCCAGCTGCTGCTTATGGAAAGGGAGTTTACTTTGCCATTGAGGCAAAATACTCTGCCAATCCCAGGTACTCCCAACCGGACGACTCCGGGCTGCAGCGCATGTACGTGGCCCGAGTCCTGACCGGGCGCCACACTTTGGGAAAAAGTGACATGAGAGTTCCTCCCCCTCGAGACTCCAACCCCAGCGACCGATACGACAGCCTGGTGGACGACCTGCAGCGGCCGCAAATGTTTGTGATCTTCCATGATGACCAGGCCTACCCAGACTACCTGATCACCTTCAGCTGAGCAGCACAGCGCCCCCCTTTGACCAAGTGATAAACTGCAGCCACCAAGCTTTTTTCTTCTTTTATATTTGTGATACATTTATTTAACAAACTTTTTTTTAGAGCTGGTGGTGGCTGAAACCCATCCATCCATCCATTTTCTTCTCCTTAATCCATTTCTGGGTCGGGGGGGTGGCAGTCAGAGCTGCACCCAGTTCACAGAGCACCAGCCCCTCACTGATCCTCCTGCAGGTGGTGAGTCCACAGGAGCTGAGATCTTTCAGTGGGGGCTTTGGGCAAAGTGGGGTTAAGTGTCTTGCCCAAGGACACAACGACAGCAGTCATCAGTGGGAGTCTTGAAGTAGGTCTTATGGTGGGCTTGAACCCACGACCTTCAGGCTCAAAGGCCAATGCTCTACCAACTGAGCCACTGTCGCCCGTGGCTCATGAAAAAAGCCAAAAATACAAATACATTGTTTTAGTTTATTCATGTCTTTTTTATTAAAATATTACATATATTTACTTTACTTTTTAAACGTTTTGTGAACAAATGTAGTTCAATTATTTTGAATTGAACACAAAAACTGTACCTATGGTAACCAAGACTTGTATTTGTAGACTGATAGGCCAAATATGTAATTGTCAGTATGGAGTAGTGAGGGTTATGAGAGAATGTATCTGTTGTGGACGCAATAAAGAAATACTCTTATAAATGTGTCTGAGTGCTTGCATGGAGTTCAACAAACAAGGTTATGGTTTTTTGTTTTTTTGAGTTTTATCTAATTTAACAAATAAAATAAAACAATGTTCCACAATCCAACATACCTAAGTAGTCATACATTGATTATTTTGGGATCCACAAACTTCAAAGTTCCTTGGCCACCAAGGGAAGTGTATGTTGAGCTAAGCATTTAGTTCAAACAAAGGGAGTCAACACCCTATGAATGCTTGAAAGGCTGTTCTTCGGTAGGGAACCTCATGGCATCCTCATGGCTCTGGTTGTGAATCACAGAAAAAAGTATTTTGAGTGGGTAAATTAGAAGGGAAAACAATAATACTGAGGGTGAAAGCTTCATAAAGTGTCCGACACATGCAAGGACTGTGTTGAAACAGAATCTGTTTCACCCAGTCTACTATTTATAGCAGTGTGTGTACTCAGAGGGGTCGAGTGCAGACATCTTCCTTTGTAAAGACTATTCACCTTAAAACGATCCCAATAATGGACTTAAACCAGACGTGTTTGCCTTCGGAATGGGAGGAAAAGTGGAGGAGGGAGAAGGAACACTTGAAAAGAATTGTGCAAGAAGGAGGAGAGGAGGTAGAGAGAAACAAGCAAGAGCTCAGACGAATAGTGGCCTACAATGACTCCAAGATGGGACTGTCCAATGCAAGGACCAAGCAACTCAACACGGATGCGTTTGTCAGTAAAGGTCTAAATTATACCATTATAAAACACCCTTATGATATATTTCAGAGTTTGAGCAATTTCTGGAGAACAGGAATTCTCACCGATTTGATTTTAGTTTTGGACAATGGGCACAGTTACCAAGTACATACTTCTGTTCTTGCCGCAATCAGTTTATTTGTGCGTAATAGACTTCTCCAACAGAAAGCGATGGGGTGCTGGTCGCTAAACTTGGGATTTGGAGTGGACAACATCGGACTACAAGCTGTGTTGGAGTTTGCATACACTGGGGCGATCCGGTCGGTCCAGGAGGGTGATATGGGGTCTGTTATCAGTGCAGCAAAATCAATGGAAAGTCCAAGAATGCTGGAGATTTATTGTAAGAGGACAGAGAAAAGTGGAACAGAAGACAGAAACAGAGCTGCAGACGAGTTGCAAAAGACTCTAGAAGAAATTCATCGGATGAGGAGTGAACAAGTGGGCTGTGACGTTGTACTGGACGTCACTGGAGTTCTATTTCATGGTGAGTGATTTAGTCGAACTTACAGTACAAAGCAGATTTGGATTCTCATAGCTCAGCTCCCATGACCAAAGAATGCGTTTCTAACATTCAACAATGTTACAAATCAAGACTGGTCAGACTTTCTTTCCCCACATGACCAGTCACTCCAACACTTTTGTCCAGTTCTGTTGTTTTGTTTTTAATAATGCTAATGTTTTTACATTTCCTCCTGTTTTTAACCATGTGTGTACAGTCTTCTTGGGTGTTTTTAAAGGTGCTTTAAAATGAAATGTATTATTATTTTTTGTATTAATTAACTGATGAACGCAAAGTCAGACTCAGAAAGCCTTCTTAACTATGAAGGTTTCTTAAAGTGTCCTGATGCATTACCAAAAAAAAAAGTTCACAAGGAGGAAAGACGGTCCATTGCGTATATTGAGTAAAGCAACACCATGTAAAGTTCTGGTTCTACACCTAGAGACTGTTTATACGGTCTGATTTCAAACCGTATAATCTAATAAAGCTTTATATCTGAACATTGACCGTGGAACGAAACATGTAGATCTATTGCTGTAGCCCCTTGTTGAAGTCATAGACTGTATTAACGGACGTAGTCACGCCTATCTCCGCCGTTCTGTTAAGGAAGTTTCTACCCAATGAAGGAGAAAACTCAAAGGTCTTTGTCTTATCAAAAGCGTAAGTTTATTGTTAACATGCGCACGGAGAGTCAGCACATACAGACACGAAGGCAGCATGTACTAGCTCTGAAGCAGAGCTCCGAGTTTCCTGTATACAGACACACACGAAAGACAGTCCCGCCCACAACAGAATGGGAGGGGGGCCACCGGTGAGGAGGCGCCTGGGGAGCGTTGGCGCCGTCTGGGGATATAGGTGTGAACAGACAGACAATGGTAGAAAAGGCACACATACAGACCGATAGATATGCAAGAGGCGAGAGGGGGGCGAGAGTGAGACAGTGATTTACGCCATTGTCTGTAGGTGTCGGGGGGCCCGGTTCCTTCCTGAAGCAGGGGCATATGAATAGAACCAGGCAGAGTTGCTCCTTCCTGGAGCAGGGAGATATGAATACTAGTCGCTTGCCATCACACTCCTTTCCCGTGATAATGTAAAAACCCCAGTTTTACAGAGATCACATTCAGGTGGGTGAGTATTGACCTTGGCCCCTGAGTAAAAGAAGAGTTGTTGATGGGCAGGTTACGCCGCCGTCACCCAAGCCTCTTGTATTACGGGGGTGTGGTCAAAGCTCTTCGCTGTGATACCCTTCCCCTAAATTGTGGGCGGAACAAGTGGAAAAATAAAAACAAAGTAAACAAGAAAGAAAAACGTTAGACAAAGTCGTCGTCCGAATCGCTGATATAATCAGGATCGGAGTTCAGTGGGACCGCGGCCAGGTCCGCCTCAGGGTCTCTGTGTTGAATGGACACAAAGTGAGTGGATATCATTTTACCAACGGCCCGAAACACCATGGGTAATACACATGAAAATAAAATCATAACAGTCAATAGGGCTAAACCAAGATTAATGAGCACACTTCGCCAGGAGGACAGGAGCCAGTCCAGACCGTGAGGAGTGTCCGTGACATTGTCCGCTTGCATGGCGTCCCGGAGTCTAGTCAGATTGGCTATGCCCTGTTGGATAAGACCTCCGTCCTCATCGTTGGCCGGAATATATGTACAGCAGGACGACCCAATGATCGTGCATACGCCTCCCACAGACGCGGTCAGGTGGTCCAGGACCAGCCGGTCCTGAAGAATAACGGCACGCAGGTCGTGAAGTTCAACTCTCTGTGATTCAAGTATGGCCACTGTGGTATTGACAAAACCTGAGAACCTATAGCTCAGGGTCTCCGTCCTTAGCATTAGTTTACCTACACCCAGGCTGGGGAATAATGCTAACATTATTTTCTGGCCTGTGGTCCATAATTTGTGGTCATCGGGTACATTAGTGCCCCACAGGGGGTCGTGTGGTGTGTAGAGTTCTCTCTTGTCTCGGTGTTGGGCCTTAGGGAGTGTGGAGATGATGTATGAATGGTCGGCAGGAAGGGCGGCCGCACAGCGTCCCTCCCATTTTGCGGGCAGACAGTCATACATGCGATATCCGCACAGATACATGTGAGACTCTACGGGCCGCGTTCCTAAAATGTCTGGTACCGTATAGTACGGGACACACACGCTTCCCGGGGCTGCCTGGGAATCGTTAAGTTTGCTGCTGTTGGCCATGTATGTGCAGGGGCTATATACGATAGAGCAGAACTCAAGTGGGATATTTCCCACATGAATGGGCTCTTTCGGGAGAGTAAGACTGGTGTTGGCCCGAGACCAGGAGTGGGTGTAGCATATAAATTTGGAGCCAGGTTTGATGTGCACTGGGCCGAAGATTGGCTCTTCCCCTGGGTGGCTGCCGGATTTGAGACGCAGCTCTCCCTGGGCAAGGGGCTTGAGTTTTGGGGGCACCGCAAAAAACATTGCTGGAGCCCTGGGATCGGACATTGAAACCAGGGTGTGAAGGATGATTTTGGAAATATTTGGCACCGGTAAGGGGATTATGTGGGGGTTAGCGGCGGCTATAGGAAGGTGGGTGCATACGTAGCAATTGGATCTATTGTGGCTATCTGCGACGTATTTTGCATACTGATACCAAAGGTTGAGTGAATAAACTGTAGAATGTTTGTAGGATTTACTCAAGGCCTCCAACCAAGCAGTGTCGTCGGAAGCAAGGCTGCGTGTAATGCGTGTCATGGCTTGAATCACAGGGTTTTGAGTTTCAGAGGAAGACAATATTAACATAATAAACACAGTCAGCACGGAAAGTAGTGTCAGTGTGGCCAGCATAACAGTCCAAGGGCCCATGCCGGTCTTAGCCGGGCTACATTCGGTAGTCTTTTCCGCGGGAATACTCACGAACAGTGCCGCCTTGCAGTCAGTGGCACCGCTCCCTATGAGCGTGTGTGGAGCGTTAGTGGTCATGGCGATGTTTGGTCTTGGAGCGGCAAGACTCTATTTGCGTTGAAGCCTTGGCCTCAGCACTCGGTTGGGCAGAGTGCTCGGGGTTTGGGGTGTGGCCTTGGGGTCCGGGGGCTGGGGAGTTGGGCAAAGGGGGGTTGCCTCGGCAACGCTGGGATTCTCTGGGTGTTGTTGTTGGCCTGCTTCACCGATGGTGGCCGCACGCCGGCCGACCACTTCAGCGTAGGGAGCCGCGGATGGGCCTGGTCCGTCCGCGCCCTCGGTGTCCTCGTCTATGGTCCTCAGTGGCAGCACCGCACGACAGTGGTTGGCGTGGATCCACGTTGTCCTCTCCGCGACCTTAACGGCAGTGTCCGTCACCAGGAGGACGAGGAATGGGCCGAGCCAGCGCTTGGACCGCCAATGCTTTCGTCTCGTTTCCTTCACCAGGACCCAGTCGCCTGGTTTGATCCTGTGCAGAGCCGCCTGCGCAGCCTGTGGCAGGGCGCTCCTGACCTGGGCAGAAATAGAGGACAAAAGTGCATTAATTTCCTTACAATAGGACAGCATGTCGTCATCACACAAAGAGGTGCTTGGCAGATCTCTGGTCGGGGGTCCCGCGCCCAAGTTGGGTGGTCTGGCGAAGAGGATTTCGAATGGGCTTAGGTTTGACCTTGACCTGACTCTCATGCGCATGTACATGAGGGCTAGCGGCAGAGCTTTGATCCAAGACAGGTCTGTCTGTTCGCAGATTTTAGCAAGTTTGTTTTTCAGAGTGCCATTCTCTCGCTCGCACGCGCCTCCGCTCCAGGGGGCGTAACTGCAGTGTTTACGTATATCAATGCCCAGAAATTCACCTACTTCCTCAATGACTTTTGCTACAAAGTGACTGCCATTGTCACTAGAGATTTTTTCCGGGACACCCCATCGTGGTACAATTTCTGTGAGCAGAGCTTCACCACCGCATTGCTCGTGGCGTGTTTACATGCAAATACTTCAGTCCATTTGGACCAGAGATCGACAAGAACCAGACAGTATTTCTTACCTTGGCATGGTGTGAGTTCAACAAAGTCCATTTGGACATGTTGAAATGGGCGCAGGGGCGGGGGATGAGCAGCCTGTTGGATAATTTGAGACTTACCTGGGTTGTGCGCGAGGCAGATAGCGCATGTTTGGCAGAATCTCTGTGCAAATGCCGTAAACCCCTTTGTATACCAATTTTGTGTGATTAAATCACACACCCTCCTTTCGAAGCATGGTCTCGGCCATGTGCTAAAATTGCAAAATGTCTGAAGAAATGCCGTGGTAAGCACGGTTTGCTGTCTGGTCCCAGCCACACACCATGCCGTCGTTGCGCCCCATTTCCTTCCCACAGCACTGTCTCTGCTGGAGTTGCCAGCGCCTGCATTGCTGACAGAGAGGAGAAAATATCAACGTCTTGAGTGAGGTAGTGTGTGTGTGTGTGTAGAGGTGCGTATGCCGCTGCCTTCGCTGCTTTGTCCGCGCGCCGATTCCCTGCAGAGATGGGATCAGTGGCATTAGTGTGGGCCTGGCATTTGCATACAGCGATCTCTAAGGGCAACATTACAGCTTTCAGCAGACGTTCAACCTGTGTGGAATTAAGAATTGGTTTACCATCAGATTTCATGAAATTGCGGTGTTTCCACAGTGCCCCCCAGTCGTGCACCACAGAGAAACCATAGCGCGTATCACAGAATATGTTGACAGTTTTGCCCGCTGCCAGCTCACAAGCCCTGGTGAGGGCAACCAGCTCAGCGGTTTGTGCTGAATGGTGGTGGGGCAAACTACCAGAGTCTATAGTATCAAAATCAGAACACACAGCATAGCCGACTCGGTTCTTCCCAGTGTTGTCACGTGACGCGGATCCGTCTGTATAAAAAATCAAATCCGGATTAGTCAGAGGCACCTCTTTCAGGTCTGGCCTGGGAGTGCATATCTGTTCTATTGTGGCGATACAGCAGTGTGCCTCCCCTTCCTCTGGCGTGGGCAGCAGTGAGGAGGGGTTCAGCTGTGTGCATCTCTTTACCGTGACATTTG